TCAATTTTGGCATCTGAGAAAGGAGAATGAAAACGATTAGAAGAAATTTACACGGAGAGCTAATTGTAGCTGCCAAAGAGGGGCCTTTAGTAGATGACTGTTGTTGCTGTTGTTTTGTTCTGATGATGATGATGATGATGATGATGATGATTCATAGTAACTCCTTATGATCCTTCCTTGTTCTCTCTTTTCATTTAACTGTACACTACCTGAGAAGAGAAACCATGTGTTTTTCTATAGCAGTGTGCATGATATTGAGTAGATAATAAATACTCAAAAATACGTTATTAGTCTTTAAATAAAATAATATTGTTGATGAACACTTAATTTGTGTTTTAATCAACAATAATATTTAAGTCAATGAAAGAGATCAAATGCAGTCATTTCTAGATACAAGCAGCTGTGTCGTGCTGAAGGATGAACCCACTTAACTCTTTTGGGTTTCAAATTGAGAACTGACACGAGCTTGGAATTCTGTTAAGTTCTGTCAAAAAATGTGGTCAGAGTCATTTATTTTTGTTTGTTTATTTAAACTATCTTGGTAGTCTCAGAATTTGGGGCATATATTACTTCCAAATAAAAATCTATTGCTTTCACAGCATGCCAGCATCCAGTTGGAGAAAAACTTCTATCTTAAATTATGCTTCCTATCAAAAAAAAGAAAAGACTGCAAAAAGACAGAATAATGGTTAAACAATACAGAGTTTGAAGAGAAAAGAATGAGAGGGGCACTTTATCTAACATTAACAAAGGTTGCAATTCATTGAACATTGTGAGTTTTATTGTATTTTCATTTTTATTTTTTGAATTTTATTTTATTTTATTTATTNATCTTTTAAATGCATTTTCATTATGTCACACTCTCTATAGGAGCTTCAGTGGCTCTTCCTCTTTATCTTTCATTCCAAAGCCTTGACTCTCAAGGTCTTCTGTATTCTTGGCTCATTCTCTAGAAGTAATAACTTTTCTTCCACTGCAGCTCGTTCTGCGAAAGGGTCACCTCAGCGCTGGTCCTGTATGCCACGCTCCCTGCCTCCTGGGCTTCCCCCATTGCCTGTCTGTTCTCCTCTGCCTGTGCCTTTCCACCAGTCTGCTTCCCAGTCCTGTCCCTCCCCTACCCTCAAGTTTCAGTCCTTCATAAAGCTGTCTCCAGCTCCTCCAGCCCATATTACTAATACTCTGCTGACTTTATTTGCATTTGATGAGATCCTTAAATCGCTGAGCCTCAATTTTGGCATCTGAGAAAGGAGAATGAAAACGATTAGAAGAAATTTACACGGAGAGCTNGGAAAATGCTTTAGAACAGTCCTTGTGGAGACCTGTGATTAATAAGGAAGAGGGTGAAGAGATACATGTTAATCTGTTTATCAGGGATGTGGAGTTTATTAAAAGTTTTTATAAAACATTCAACTAATAAAGCATTATGTAAAATTAGACATTTTCTTTAAATTGCAAAAAGTCGCTAATCTGGAAAAAACCATTGATGTTGCTTCTAAATAACTTATTTATATTTTCCCCACACT